TTGCATGATGTTCATGACAGCCCTGCCTGGCGAGATTTGACAGGCCTNTTTTTCTACTGCTCGCCATCTGGTCTTTGGGATATATATTGATTGGTTTATCCTTTTACAAACAAGATTGCTGGTATGTCAGAAATATTTCAGTGTTATTTCACATATATTGATTTTATATTTTTATAATAGGAAAGCATGCATCTTGTGGTGCCATTGTTCTTTATTGTCTGAATCTTCCTCCACACTTGCGCTATCTGCCTGAAAACACATTTATTGTTGGCCTCACTCCCCCACCAAATGCACCAGATATGATCACCATCTCCCACATTATTGAACCCCTCATTGATTCTGTTCTCAAATATGCCACTCCTCCAGGTCAACGCCTTCCTACATTTCGACATCCTGCTGGTGTTTGGTTTCAGATAAAAGTTGCACCCCTTATTTCTGATATAGAGGCAAGTCACAAGGCTGGAGGATTTATGGCTCATGCAGCCACACTTTTCTGTTCTTTTTGCCTCTGTACCGCAGACCAGATTGAAGAGCTCGACCTTCAGTCTTGGCCTTTGTGTCAATGTGCACAAGTATGAGATCAGGCTCAAGTATGGCTGAACACAGCAACAAAATCTGGTCGCAAAGCTCAGGCTCAATCTACTGGGGTGCGGTGGACTCCTCTTCACCATCTGCCTTACTGGGATCCTGTTAAACATGTTCTTCTTGGGTATATGCACAACTGGCAGGAAGGAGTGTTAAAACATCAACTCCATGTTCTGTGGGCCATTGGGCCACAAGAAGGTTCTCAGAATACTGGTCAGGGAATTGACGAGGAGGAACAGTGGACTGAAACAGATGTATCTGAGTCTGCAAGTGAGCTTGATGAGTTACATCGAGAGGCAGCAGAGGCAGAAGCAGCACCACTCCACCAAAACCCTTCATTCTCATCCCAGCATTCTGGCCGATCTTCAACACTCTCTGGAACACCAACTCAAGATGACCACATCCCTATGCATTTGACATGCAGGATGAGG